TATCTCCGTGTTTACCTGATTCTGCATGTAAATGTTGCATATCACCATGTTTACCTGATTCTGCATGTAAATGTTGCATATCTCCATGTTTACCTGGTTCTGCATGTAAATCTGGCATATCACCATGTTTACCTGATTCTGCATGTAAATGTTGCATATCACCATGTTTACCTGATTCTGCATGTCAATGTTGCATATCTCCATGTTTACCTGATTCTGCATGTCAATGTTGCATATCTCCGTGTTTACCTGATTCTGCATGTAAATGTATATATCACCATGTTTACCTGATTCTGCATGTCAAAGTTGCATATCTCCATGTTTACCTGATTCTGCATGTAAATGTTGCATATCTCATTGTTTATCTTGTCTCTGGTTTATTCATCCTGGCATACTCTTACTCTTCTGGATTCTGATTGGTAGATCATAGGTTGTTAACGATAGTAACCACCTCTGATTTAGGCATAATGTAATATGATAAGAGAAACTTAATTATTTTTAATTATTTTTATTTTAACACGCTTTGAAATAATAAAGCCTACAACTATAGCTAGGCTACAAAAGGCAGTGTTGCGGTTATTATAATATTCACAGTATATGTTAATTTGAGAAGGAAACACAGTAGACAGAGAATGTATTTTCAGTTTTAGGGATAACAGTGACCATGCAATTTGCCTTTTTGACGACCAACTGTGACGTTCAATGCAATTTAGCGCAGTTAAATATACCGGTGAAATATTACATTGAAAAGACAGTGTGTTGATTGACGTTCAGTTCAATTTAGCGCAGTTAGATATACCTGTGAAATATTACATTGAAAAGACAGTATGTTCATTGACGTTCAATTCAATTTAACGCAGCTACATATACCTGTGAAATATTACATTGAAAAGACAGTATGTTGATGGATGTTTGATCAAAGTTTAACAGTAATATTCCACTCAATCAATGTATACCGACTCCTAGTCGGCCAGTCCTTGTTTTATACTTTAAATGCTGAGCGCCAGGCAGAGTACCAGTAAGTACCATGTCTTATGGCGCGGCCAGAGGATCGAACCGTCGACCTTTCCGCGCTCTGAGCAGGCACACTGTCCTGTAGACCATGAATGCAGTTGCATGTCTAATGTATGTCAGTGAAGAAATGCAGCAATGCAGCACTCGTACATAACAGATAAGAACATGCGTGAGACGACAGCTCTAATATTGATGTATCTCCATCGGAGTAGATTAATGAAAAAGGAAGCAAAACGAAGGTGCTCGGTAAGTTATTACGCCGGTGCGGCTGAGCAGTAAGCAACACAAAAAACTTCCTGAGCGATAGAATATTTTGCATGTCAACGCGCTAGGCTGCTATTCTAGTTTGCGATGAAAATGAACATGACAGCCTTCGGTGTGTAGTGGATAGAGCGTCTGTCAGGAGAGACACAAGTCACTGATCGTTCAAGTCGGGTGTTTTTTATACGGTCGTTTTATGTACGGATATTGATCCTAAACGCCTCTCTACATTTGTCACTCAACAATATTATCACTCTATGGTTTTATTGCCAATAAAAGTGTCTGTGCACTCGCGTCTGACAGTGATAATTTACAGGGCATTTCCTGCAGAAGATTAACTACTTGTTTCTGGGGAGACAAGACCTATGCGTAGCTAGGGTACATCGGGTGCAAGCAAGCTACGGTGTGTCGATGTACGTAACGCGCTATTCGTTATCATGTTTAAGTCATGAAATGGGTAGTTAAATTTTAACATTAAAATATGTTCAGGTTGAAGGTAACCCTACTAGTGAACCCTCAGTCCGTTCTGTCATTTCACCCAGTGAGTGAGTGAGTGAGTTGGGTTTAACGCCGCTTTTAACAGTATTCCAGTTATAGAAGACTGGGCCACCCAGCTAATACACCCTTAGAGGGCACGGATGGCCCAGTTGTCTAAAGGCGCCGCAGTTCGCTGTGCAGAGTCGCGTCCCTTGGGCACGCCAGAAACCTATGATTGTGGGTTCGAATCCCGTTCGCCCCAATTATGTTTCTTCGGGCTTTCCTCACACATTAAGCTGACACGCCGTGATATAACTGGGATACTGTTAAAAGCGGCGTACACCTATGATTTTGGGTTCGAATCCCACGTTCGCCCTGATTATGTTTTAAGGTTTGTCAGTACCATACTCGTGCTCGTGCGTTTAACCAAAGTGATAAACGTCTGAGACCTGAAAAACTTCGAGCTTTTCTCCTACTTGAAGCTGACGCTCCGTGATAATACTGGAATACTCACTCAGTAAGACACCTTTCAGTAACGTGTATGCTAGTATTTGTCATGCCTAAATATGTTTGTCAGGTTGTTTTGAAAAATATATTGGATGTATTGATAACATGCCTACTTGGTCTAGTCGCTATTTGGCGTTATATCTAACCCATTCCCCCATGTGATATGTTATCTTAAGCGTACAAACGAGTACCTGTCAGTTCGTGAGGAAAAATGGCTGATTCTTCAAATACATAAACACTGAACTTAAAACAAACACCTACATTTCCAAGCTTGAAACACAGCACTACTTTAGCAAATTTGAAACCACCCCTACTTTCCCGGACTTAAAACACATCCCTACTTTCCCGAATTTGAAACACATCCCTACTTTCCCGAACTATTTGTAGACTGACGCCGCTATATGAGATCATAAAAGTGCATTAATTTTCAACCCGAAGCTAAACCCCCTTTCATAAGTAGCATGATGTAACACACCATTATCCATACTATTCCCTAAGCTATTGAGGATTATATGCATATTAGATAGTTTAATTTGACATTTTCAATTGTTACTTTCACACAACTCTGTGATATGTCGCCTCAGCAGAGGCCTACTAGTACATGTCCTCAAGTCACACGATGCGGACAGAACCCTGCTGGCGACACGTACTTTCAATAAAAAAAATTAATAATTCACATCAGTCTCAAAATAAAAAAAGTGCTCCATCAATTACAAGTGTACTTTAATAAATATGTGGGTTGATGCTGGCAAGAATATGTGACAACGCACTGCCCATTCGTGAAGAGTGAGTGAGTATGGTTTTACGCCTCTTTTAGCAATATTCCAGCAATATCACGGCGGGGGACACCAGAAATGGGCTTCACACATTGTACCCATGTCGGGAATCGAACCCGGGTCTTCGGCGTGACGAGTGAACGCTTTAACCACCCGACCGCCCCCATGCGTGAAGAAATGGATTGTGTAAACAATAGTGTAACGTCACACAGTATGCCTTATTTGTGTGAACACACATACATGTGATCAATCTCCCATGTGTAAATCTCCATGGTGAGAGTCAATGTTTATTTATTTACCCCGGCAAGCTGAAACATTTTGTAATCAGGTAATCTCGAGTCAGATGTTTAAAAAATATATGTGACCAACCATGAGACAAGGGACCTTATGATGAAAATTCACATTGCGACTTCTTATTAAATTTTACAACTACTGTACTCGGACCGCAAAATACAATTCATTACCTTCAATTCATATTTATTACAGAGATACATAACAACAAACATGTGGACTCATTTTCAGTCTTCTAACTGTTAATGTAATGGTTGCAGTTTTTAGATATTTCATCTGATTAATTGAAAGTAGACATGTATACTGAAATGTTATGAAATAATTATTTCTATAACATTACGAACTAACGAGAGAAAAGTAAGATATTTTTGTACAGTCCGCACACGTGGCGATTTATACGGAAGCATGTTGACGTCAAAGGTACGTATTTCTTTATAACGTCAGAGCACAACTGTATCCTAGCACCCATAAGGTCCCTGGTGGGTCACAGTATCATACGTTCCAGGAAAACAACCCGAAGAGAAGCTCCCCGCGGTAATTCCTGTTTGAAATTATCCCCTCAAAACCTAATATCCTCATCGTACAAGGTTACTTATATCCTCCAAGTACAAGTTGACTTATATCCTCCAAGTACAAGGTGACTTATATCCTCCAAGTACAAGGTGACTTATATCCTCCAAGTACAAGGTGACTTATATCCTCCAAGTACAAGGTGACTTATATCCTCCACGTACAAGTTGACTTATATCCTCCAAGTACAAGGTGACTTATATCCTCCAAGTACAAGGTGACTTATATCCTCCAAGTACAAGTTGACTTATATCCTCCAAGTACAAGGTGACTTATATCCTCCAAGTACAAGGTGACTTATATCCTCCAAGTACAAGGTGACTTATATCCTCCAAGTACAAGGTGACTTAATTGTTAGGGTGGGCTGGTACATTGAGTTGGTTGATTGAGGCAGTACTTGTCATGAGAGGTGACTAACGGGATCGGGTGGTCAGGCTCGCTGACTTGATTCATACATGTCGTCGTGTCCCATCTGCGTAGATCGATGTTCATGATGTCAATCACTGGATTGACTGGTCCAGACTCGATTATTTACAGATGTCCGTCATATAGCTAAAATATTGCCGAGTACGACGTTAACAACGAACAAATAAACGCTGAAGAGAAGGGCAAAACAAGATTTACATCTTCCCAAAGGCAAGAGAGTTAACTGACCTTAAAAGTCCAGTTTCCACCCTTGCCGAACTTGGCTTGAATTCCTGGGCTCGATCGTAGCGCCACCAGTGGCTTTACGAGTTATGTCTCTTCCATGCCTCTCCTATGACCAATCAGATTCCAGCTCTCGTATCACTTGCTTTTGCTTCAAACAAAATGTCGGCTTACAGTCAAGACGATCTGATCGATAATCACGGTCTATATTGTGATAAAATGGGTCTTACGTCGCGGAGTTCACGAAAAGATTTGGAAAGTATCTGTTGACAACGAGTTGGCGGTGCACATGCTTTGCAAACCCTGTAATCGACCGACATCTGCATTTCAGTTTACGAACCGGATTTCGATTTCATAGCGGGATTTTGATTCCTTAATACCATAGGTTGGAAACTTGACTTTTATCGTCAGTTAGCTATCTTGCATCGGGAACATGAAGATATTAATGCAACAACGTTTGTTTTTAGTGACACGTTTAATATCAAAAGGATATCACATTTAGTAACGAAAAGATACATGGATGAACAACTTCTTTATAACAACCCAATTGATGCTCATGATATCAATCACTGGATCGTCTGGTCAAGATATATTATTTACACATCGCCGTCATATAGCCGGAATATTGCTGAGTGCCGCGTTAAACAACAAACCAACCAATTTTATAACAATTAGGAGAGATTTTCGGTGTAGGTTCTAACACTGTATTCTGTACCATTTTCTTTACTTCTAAACGCCTCCAAAGAAGATATCACATTTGTGTTGTATGTTACTCTTAATATGCCCTCGACAATTTCCCTGCAAATTGAAAACATTCGCCCTTCAAGTGTTTGCATAAGGAGCATTATTTTGCACTATATTTTTTAACCTACACGCTGGCGTAATCACAGCCTGGAATCTCCTCAACAAGAATGTAAACATGTAGAGTTATATTTGTATTAAGCGAAACAGCGCTGATAAATATACAACTTTGATTTAACACCACACAGCCCGAAATTCCAGGCACAGAGGGTATTGTAGTCACTTTAACTGAACAAGGCAAACATTTGTCTAGGTTTTGCCGTGTGTACACGCGCGGATATCCTAACCACGGCATCAATAACAGCATATTCTTGCATTACTGCATTCGTCTGTGATACCTTAACGATTGCCGTTTGTGCCCCATGGAATCACAATGAAATAACTCATCATTCGCCACAACGTCCTATCGGTCTGGGAAACCATAACTGTTCATAAATTGTTCAAAGTAAAGTGTTCCTTTTATAAATAAATCATCTTAGAAGGTTTTTGTTCACCAAGTGGTAGAAGTCAGTAGATTAGAGGTCAGTCAGAAACGTCATCTAACAGAAGGGTTCTGACGCTTGTCAACACTGCGGTTTTCTTGTGCTTCTGAAAATGTCCCTGAAATCTTTGTTCCCACTGCGTATATAAAATTTAGATTTGACTACAAATGTCAGGAATTGTAAACGCCCATAGAAGATCAATATCATCCGAGTTTCTTTCATTAATATTTTGTTTCTATTTTATATTTTATATACAATCAATAATCTTAATTCAACAATTGTTTCTTGTTTGATAAGATCCAGACTGATGATTATATTACGAGTGCCATCAGTGGGGCAGAATACGCTCACCTATTCCCGTACACCTGGGATCATTACAGTTGTGATTCATAAACGCATGCTTATGGTATAATCAGAATTTTACAATTGCCTCAGCTTTTAGCAGAGATTTCGTATGACCACAGCAAGGGTTGTTGTCCTTACACTAAGGCATGTACGTCCTCTTATAGAAGGGTTATGACGCTGGACAACACTGCCGCTTTATTGTGCTTTTGAAGTTGTCCCGGAAATCCTTCGTTCCCACTGCATAGATTAGTGGATTAAGAAACGAATTAGAAAACCCCAATATCAATAAATATGTTCCAATAATTTCCTTTAAGAAACAAGCTTTCTCTCCGGAGACCAACTGAACAACAGTCGCTATCAAGAAAGGACACCACGTGATCAACAGACAGCCAATCACACACAGAAGAGTTTTCACTGACTTCCAGTTCCGGGCGGAAATGCCAAAGATTCCACTTGACTTCCGGGTCACACCGAGTTGCTCTAAAGCATCGATTCGCTTGATGTGGCCTCTTGCACTGCAGTACAATCGAACGTATATGACAAACACTATCAAAATAGGCACCACCCCTATAATGAATATCAGCACAACATATCCAGGTGATACCACGAATAAAAAAGAGCAGTACTGGTTATAAGTCGCATTATTCCAGCCAATCAGAGGCGCGAATCCCACGAGAAGTGACTGTGTGGTGATCCACACCATGGCAAAGACGACTTTCTTCGTTGTCATTATCTGCGTGTATCTCAAAGCACGTGTTATTGCAATATATCGGTCAATGGCAATCCACATGACGCACATCGTGGATGCTTGAATTCCACTGATTGTGAATCCTATTCTGACAAGACACACGTTTAAAGTTGACTCATTTGCCTTCGTCGCCACTGTACCTATTGACACGAAGCCAATACACATGTCTGCTATTCCTAGTGATGTCACAAACCAGTAAGTTGGACGATGGAACTTCCTCTGTAATGCTATGAAGAGTAACACTGCCCCGTTGCTCAGTATGATGCAGATTGACAAGGGTATTAACACAATTCTCTTAACACGTTCGTGATCGTTGTCCCAGTCTGGTTGACATGTTTCGGGAAGAGGTGTTGGTACAAGGGAAGTCATTGAGTCAGATGTTCTTGTCAGGTTATGAAGCAACAACATATTCTTGGCATCCCATCCAATCTCCAAATTCCCTGAATTTATAGCATATTCGTTATCGAAAGTTTACGTAATGCAATAATTATTCAAAACTACATCTTCATGCGCTGACAATCTGCATTGATGTCCTTTTATTCAAAGAGTTTGTTTTTTTATAAATACCACCAAGATAAGGATTAAGACACTTGGAAGCCGGCACGCGGTCACGAGTCTTCTCAGCAGTTGCCAGTTGACCTCCAGGAATGTTTCAAGAGCATCAATCACAGAACAATCTCAGTCTGGATTCCCGATTACTTCCTTGTGGCATATGGCTGATGTTTAATCAGACCTACTGCCAGTTATTTCTCTGTTGTAATCATTCACGTAAACGTTGATATGCTTGATGTCACGACAGACAGGGTTTGTGTACATCGTTGTGTATACACCTATGTATAAACGTCTGTAAACACCGGCTACTTGTCTCCTGTAATTAGAAAATAGACGAATCAATTGAATCGTAAAAAAATTTATTACCGTGACATCAAATGATAAGACTGTTAAAAGATGGGTGGTTTAAAAAGTGTCAAATATGTTTATTGTTTATAGCAGTAATTACAGAATAATTAACACGCCCCATTTTAATTCTGGAAACCCAAAAGTTCAGAAACTCTACGGGCTTTGCCGACTCTCGATCAAAGGTATTTACAAAATTAAACATGCTGTTTTCATGGGAACATACCAAGGAAGAAAAAATGAAAAAAAAAATGTTAAAAAACTCAATATTTACACTATCTCGCCCATGGGTAGGCCCATGGGCAGGCCCATGGGCGAGAATATGTTCCTTTACTCAAAACTCATGTTTTTGTTTCGCAAATACATTAAATGTATTTATTCAAGTATCATGACACATAATTTAACTCATTTTAACTTAATTCAACTATTTTATAGCGATATTGAAATATTTCGACCATGGGCGAGAAAAAGGTTTGGCCCATGGGCGAGAATATGTTCCTTTACTTAAAACTCATGTTTTTGTTTCGCAAATACATTAAATATATTCATTCAAGTATCAAGACGCAAAATTTAACTCATTTTAACTTAATTCAACTATTTTATAGCTATATTGAAATATTTCTCCTATGGGCGAGAAAAAGGTTTGGCCCATGGGCAGGCCCATGGGCGAGAATATGTTCCTTTACTTAAAACTCATGTTTTTGTTTCGCAAATACATTAAATGTATTCATTCAAGTATCAAGACGCAAAATTTAACTCATTTTAACTTAATTCAACTATTTTATAGCGATATTGAAATATTTCGCCCATGGGCGAGAAAAGGTTTGGCCCATGGGCAGGCGCATGGGCGAGAATATTTCCCTTTGCTCAAAACTTGTGTTTTAGTGTCGCATATACATAGTTCTTAGAAGTTTCATGTCACATAATTTAACAAATTTTAACTTAATTCAACTATTTTACGGCGTTATTAAAATATTTCGCCCATGTTTTCGTCAGTCCCTTTAAAGCATCAACTAACTGTGTGCAAAGTATACTGTATCATGTGAAATATGCTTTATATTATATCATTACATTACTATTTAAAAAGGGCATTTGGTTGGATGTTTCCTTTATAGAAGTTCTACAAATTTCACCTGTTTTACATATTGTAGCGATCTTTAATGAATCCGGCCTTACCTCTCAAAACGTTTTGACAGTTTATGATACGAATTCATGTGCGTGTACTCCAATTCATTGGAGTTATTTTCCACAACATTAAAGTTTAGTTAGTTTCTATTTCATTTCCCATTTCATGTCCCGTTGATACATCACACTGGGCAATTACATGGCACTAGGTATGCAATATAGAGTAACGAGTGCGCGTATTTTAATGGAAAAAACTATTCGTTTATTGCATAACGTTTGGCTGAATATCTCACATTCTAACGAAATCTCGAAATAATTATTTAATTACATGCGGTGTCGAACTGACCAGTGGGAATTATGTTTCAATGCGATTGAGGAAAACGTGAGTGAATATTGTGACACTAAAAAAACTTTTACTGCATTGTCACTTTTGGTATGAAAATGGTAATAGTTAAGAAAAACGCAACAGCCTTCTTATGATAATTCTCATATTCTCATTAGTACGTTGTGTCTAATTACAGTGTCGGCCTTATTTACAGGTGATTCTACAATACTTGCTCTCGGTCAATTACAATCTGCCACACCACACGTGAATAAACAGTTATGCAGGTGTTGCTGTGGGCAAATATCTAGCCTGTACATGTATATTTTTTTGTGGATACATGTATTACATATTTTCGTTGATATGTGGATATATTAAGCACAAAGACACAAAACGTTTATGAAAGATGAATTGGTGCCTTGATATATGTATTCAACGAGAACGAATCTTGTATTTTCTCCGCGATCCTGATGTGTATCATCGTTTAATGGGTCATTCATTAAAAGTATGTTGTGATGCGATATCAAAGGAGCCGCTCAATTTACACAGTGTCGTCCGTTTCGCGTGAACTACCAGCCCACCCTGTCTGTAAGAGTTATGTAATCGGTACACACATATATTTGATGCGATGTCAGTGTGTTGTACATGTAGACTGTCGTAGGGTACACATATCTATTGCAAGTTTTAGTACTCATACACTTTCTCTTTTTGTGTTGATATGATTTCTATTTTCGTACATGATATGATTTCATTTTTATCTTTGGCTGCTACGTTTTTATATGTTCGAGTAGCTGTCTGTCCCTCATAAATTGACATAGTTCTGCCTCGCTATTGCATCTCTTGACTGCATGAGATCTACAGCATATAGCGGATCTAACTGCAATTCTTGATTTAACCAAGCGGGTTTGACATTCCAGTAACTGGATTCAGGTTGATTGCAAGATATGCATACCTCGTCATAGTGATTGTTGTGAATTTCTCAAAATTCTGTTTGTTTGTTAGTTGTATAACGCCGCACTTAGCAATATTTCAGCTGTATGACGGCTTTCTGTAAATAAGTCTGGACCAGACAATCCAGTGATTGAAATCATGTGCATCGATCCACGCTATTGGGATACGATGACATGCATCAACCAAGTCAGCGAGCCTGACCACCCGATCCCGGTAGTCGCCTCTTACGACAAGCGCTGTCGCCCTTTTACGCCAAGAATGGGTTGTTGAAGATCTTCACGGGTCCATGGACGCAGGGATTTGTGTAAAGTCATTCAGACAGCATACAATGCCAACTCAAAATTTATACTCAATGTCTCCGCAAAGTAATATAGTACGGAACTTAGAGTACATATGAGATTATACTCAGGTTAGGGAGATGTTTAATCCATATAACGTGTTATTATTCTACCTAACAATGTATTTAATGAAATGAATACAAAACAAACTCAACGGCTAAAAGGTTTCATTGAAAAAACTACCCCTGGTCTTGCCTTATAAAACAACTGCAACCCGACACAGATTAAACGCAACTTACAAACACAATCATAATCTGGTTAATCTGTATCACTCAACAAGTTGGCGCCGCTTATTCTGCCCACAGTATGACAGTATTGGGCAGCTCAGTAATAAGGAGGTAAAACCAGGCAGGTACACTGGTCACACTTGACTGGTCTGTCTGATGATTAGGTCGTCTGTCAATTGGGAGTGAACCATAGCAAGTACTATCTGCGAAACTATTTGCTCCTTTTATGGGACCGATTAATTTTATGACCATGGGCCTCGGCACAAGCGTGGTGATGGAAGACAAGTTATACATGTACATCCGATATGGTGACTGTTTTTCGCTGTTCATATTCTAAATACATCATAATACCACAACATTTTAGTACTACTTGAAACTTTACAATCACTTCAATTTCTACAATAAATTGAACGAGAACAAATGATATATTGCAGATTATTAAATCATTGTCTCTATTATCAGCCGCTACGTTTGTATCGTTTGCATTGTACAAAGAAATATTGTTTCTGTCCTTTTGCAGATTTAGCCTCAGAATGTGCTCATTCGAATTAGGAACGAAAATAATTGCTTATCATGAGTATATATGATACACTGTAGATGTATTCACTTAAAAGTCGTATACGACCTTCGCGAGCGAGTTGAATGATCCAGGTTAATTGGAACGAAGTCTAGAAAGGATTATAAGGTTTTGTATTTGGTAATGTGTAGGTTTGTTAAATTAAATTTTTTTTAATTCCTTTTATTTCAATATGTAAAAACATAATTATGCGCTTAAAAACAGAGCTGACTTGATGGGAGATATGGCGTTAGCCACCTGAGATTGTCTGTTGGACACGGTTTAACCTTACTGTGTCCTCACCCTGGTTGTCGTTACCGTTGTTATAAGGGATTAGGAGCTACGGCTCATTGCATTTTTGGTTACAGTCTGTCTCACTAAAGTGGACATGTGCAGGTGAAATGCCCAAAAATGTGAACTCCAAACAATAATAACCTGAGACGTAATTCAAACTCCTTCCACACTGACACCGCATCAAATATATTTGTGTACCGATTACATAACTCTTACAGACAGGGTGGGGTGGTAGTTCACGCGAAACGGACGACACTGTGTAAATTGAGCGGCTCCTTTGATATCGCATCACAACATACTTTTATTGAATGACCCCATTAAACGATGATACACATCTCGATGAATATTTCAAGGCACTAATTCGTCTTTCATAAACGTTTTTTTTTGTCTTTGTGCTTAATATATCCACATATCAACGAAAATATGTAATACATGTATCCACAAAAAATATACATGTACAGGCTAGATATTTGCCCACAGCAACACCTGCATAACTGTTTATTCACGTGTGGTGTGGCAGATTGTAATTGACCGAGAGCAAGTATTGTAGAATCACCTGTAAATAAGGCCGACACTGTAATTAGACACAACGTACTAATGAGAATATGAGAATTATCATAAGAAGGCTGTTGCGTTTTTCTTAACTATTACCATTTTCATACCAAAAGTGACAATGCAGTAAAAGTTTTTTTAGTGTCACAATATTCACTCACGTTTTCCTCAATCGCATTGAAACATAATCCCCACTGGTCAGTTCGACACCGCATGTAATTAAATAATTATTTCGAGATTTCGTTAGAATGTGAGATATTCAGCCAAACTATGTATATGCGACACTAAAACACAAGTTTTGAGCAAAGGGAAATATTCTCGCCCATGCGCCTGCCCATGGGCCAAACTTTTTCTCGCCCATGGGCGAAATATTTCAATAACGCTATAACATAGTTGAATTAAGTAAAATTTAGTAACATTATGTGCCATGAAAATGGTAAGAACACCTGCATGTATTTGCGAAACAAAAACATAAGTTTTAAGTAAAGGAAAATATTCTCGCCCATGGGCCAAACCTTTTTCTCGCCCATGGGCGAAATATTTCAATATCGCTATAAAATAGTTGAATTAAGTTAAAATGAGTTAAATTTTGTGTCTTGATGCTTG